TCTTTCTCCTAAGGGGGAAGTTGACATGATAGACATGGGTTAGAACCCTGCTTGGTCACATGCCATTCCTGTTTCTTTTTTTTTTTTTTTTTTTGGTTTTTCGAGACAGGGTTTCTCTGTGTAGCTTTGCGCCTTTCCTGAAACTCACTTGGTAGTCCAGGCTGGCCTCGAACTCACAGAGATCCGCCTGGCTCTGCCTCCCAAGTGCTGGGATTAAAGGCATTGCGTCACCACCGGCGCCATTCCTGTTTCTTGAAGTTAGGGCCATTGTATATTCCTTCCTTCTTGCCATATATTCCTGGCTGGGCTGGAATTAACGTGCAGACCAGACTGACCTTAAACTTGTGGTAATCCTCCTGCCTCTGCCTTCCGGGTATAGTGATGACATATGCCACTCTGTCAGTTGTGGTGTTCATTTTTCTGTCCTTCCTGCCTTAGACGAGGCCTGGCAGATGCTTAGTAAGTGTTCACTGCATGAATTGTGCTCCAAAGGACACAGGGGAAGGACCAGGTGTCCTCTGGTGTCTGCTGCAAGTTGGGGCCGAACTGTTGTCCTCCATGGTAAACTGTGTCTTCTCTCCCTCTTCCTTTCTGTCCTCTAGAATTTCCCGGTTCTCAAATGTCTATCATCTCTCTATTCATATTTCAAAAAACTTTGGAGCAGATACCACGAAGATCTTCTATATTGGCCTGAGAGGAGAGTGGACTGAGGTAAGAGAGATTGATCAGTGTGTGTCCGCACCCCGTGGGGCAGGAGCTCCAGGGAGAGAGCAAGGGAGGTGTTGGTTGCTCCGTCTGTTTATAATTTTCCTTTCTTTTTTGTTTGCTTTGTTTTGAGACAGGCTCTCAACATACAGTCCTAGCTGGCCTAGAACTCATTCTGTAGACCAGGCTTGCCTGGGTCTCACAGAGGTCCACCTGCATCTGCCTCCTGAGTGCCTGGCTTCATAATTTTTCTTGATTTCATCATAATAATGTTTTTCATTGGATAGACTCTTAAGTTTTTTGTTTTTCTAATTCATGTATTTAATTTTCTGTATGTATTTATGGGTATATGGGTATAGGTATATGTGTGCCTCAGTATGTGTAGCTCACAGGACAACTTGTGGGAGTCATTTCTCTCCTTCCACCATATTGGTTTCAAGTGTAGAACTCGGGTCATCAGCCTTGGCAGCAGGCATCCTTACCTGCTGAGCTGCCTTGCTGGCCCTGCTATAGGTGATATTAAGGGAATGGAAATGATATCATTCCTATCAGTTCAGTTTTGAAGTTTTAGTTTTCATGAGTGGTTTGATAGAGGGTGTGGGTGCGTCTCAGTGACAGCTTGCTTAGCCCGTGGGAGGCCATGGGTTCCACCCCATCTCCCATTCTTGACAATCTCTTATTCTGGGCACCGGAGATAGGTAAGTTCCTGTTCTCACCTGGATTTGCTTGGCTGCTGAGAATCCTTAGTAGTGGATAGTGGGTCTTTTCCGGCTTCTCAAGATTAAAGTGCTGGCAGAGGGGAGCTTCCTAGAGCACACGAGGCAGGCAGCCTGACCGAGGACTGCTGCACTGTACGCGCTCCGGGAAAGGAGGGTTCCCTAGTGGCCACTGAGCTCACCTCTCCCTTTGCTTGTAGCTTCGCCGGCATGAGGTGACCATCTGCAATTACGAAGCATCAGCTAACCCGGCAGACCACCGAGTCCATCAGGTCACCCCACAGACACACTTCATTTCTTAAGGGCCGGCCCAGGCTCCCTCGGATGCACTGTGGGTGAAGATTGCGACCACCTGCTGGGAAGGACTGAGGAGGCTCCAGCAAGAGTTGCCTGCTGCAGCCTCGGCCAGGCTCTGTCTTGGGCTTTGCTGCCGGAACCTGGCCTGTGGAAACCGCCTCACCACCAGGAGCGGTGTGGGTGCCAAGGGACAGACGTCCCCTAAATCTGCAGAAAACAGGCTTTGGCTGGGTGGCATCTGGCAGCCATGGATAACGTTTGCTTTTCAGACAGTGTGGCCATGGGATCCCAAGTGTCTTGTTGCTTGTGGCAGGTTTTTTGTGTGTGATTTGTCCTTTTTAAAAAAGGAAGCTTCCTCGGCTGCAGGAATCCTTCTGAAACCTGAGTTTTGTGTTTGTGTTAGCCATCAGGAAGATCTCCAGCTAGAAACACACGCCCCTGCTTGCTCCTCCTCCCTGTCATTGCTCAGCATTTGTGTCAGAGTGCCCAGCTGGTGTTACATATCACGCACAAGTGTCCCATGATGGTGGCCGGAAGGGAAGGAGTCTCCTGGTGAACGACTGCTTGCTGGAGGTCTCTTCTCACTGTCTAGCCAGGCGGGTGAGAGAGCATGAGGTCGTTTCTCTGGGTGACCTGGTTGGGGTAAGGCTGAGACTAGAGACTACCCTGGGGACCTCCTTGGTGTTTACTTGCTTCTAACTTGTGTTGTAAACTAAGTGCTCAAATCTGGAGACCCTGGTTCTTCTGTTCATGGCTTTATTCACTGTGACTCATGAGCTTCCTAATAAATCCTTGCCAGACTTTTGTCTTTTCTTCTGTGCTCTCGGTACTGTGAAACTTACTAGCAGGCAAAACACCCATGCACATGAAATAATATTAAACATACGTGGATTCTGGAGGCGTCGGACAACGTGAGGACAAGGTTAGTGAGAACAATTGCTTCACAGTGAACAGAGGTAGCAGCACCTGGTGAGAATCCTAGTGTCAGAAAGCACTGAGACCCTGTTTTCTCATTAAGTAGGAAGAGTTGGTGAGGGAAGGCGTGCTGAATCTGGTCCTGGAGGATTCCAGGATGGCCCATCCTAGTCAAGGAGGACATGCAGTTCTTTCGGAAAAAAAGGTCTGCCACTCAGCCTTGTTGGGAATCCAAGTTCTGAACTAAACTGGAGTGCCAACAGTTCTCTCAGTACATGAAGGCTATCTACTCAGCCACAGCTTGCTTTGTGTGAGCCATTCTGAAGGTGTGCAGAAAGGCTAGTGGGTAGGGGTGTAGTTCAGCAGTGGATACTTGCTAGCTAGCATGTGCAGGGCCCTGGGTTTGGTTCCTAGCACCAAGATAAAATTATGGCTATTTAAAAATTTTGGCCGGGCGGCGGTGGTGGCACATGCCTTTAATCCCAGCACTCGGGAGGCAGAGGCAGGCGGATCTCTGTGAGTTCCAGGCCAGCCTGGACTACCAAGTGAGTCCCAGGAAAGGTGCAAAGCTACGCAGAGAAACCCTGTCTCGAAAAACCAAAAATAAAAATAAAAAATAAAAAAAATAAAAAATAAAAATTTTGGATTAAGGGGAAATGTAAAGTTAAAAACCTCAAAACAGGGCCATGCAGATGGCTCAGTGGGTCCAAGTGTTTGCTGGTCAAGTCTGACAACCTTAGTTGGGATCCCCAGAACCCAACTGAGAAGCCAGAGGCTGTGGCTCATGTCTGTAATCCCAGTGAGATGGGCAGAATTGGGAGATTCCCCAGGAAGTGCTCAGGCCAGCTTGACTGGAGTAGACAGTACAGCAGCAAAACAGACTGCCTAAAAAATGAGGCTGGCTGGGCATGATGGTCCCTCCCAGTCCTTGGGAAGCAGAGGTAGGCACATCTCTGTGAGTTTAAGGCCGGTCTGGTTTACAGAGCAAGTTCTGAGAACCAATGGCTGAACATGTTCTCCGATGTGAACAAAGTAAGTATACACGTCATACAAAACACCCAACACCTCTAAACACTAGCCCATTTGTTCCACTAATATGTGCTCATGTGTAGCTCCTGAAACTGGACCTGTAGGTTTGAAGCATCACTTGCCAAAGTGCCCACATGGTGAGTCTACTGGACTTGCATTTCATCCATAAACCAAGCCTGCAGGATTCTGCAGTCAGGGGGGCTGGCTTATTGTATTATTTTCTTCTCCTTAGGGTTTCTCTGTGTAGCTCTAGCTGTCCTGGAACTCTCTCTGTGGACCAGGCTGGCCTTGCCTCCTGAGTGCTGGGATTACAGGTGTGTCACCACCCCCTGGCTGTTTTCTACTCTTCCCCTTTCTTTTGTGACAGCCACCTCCAGGTCTTTGGCTTGCTGTGGTCCCTTGATCCTAGTATTCCAAGCTCCATCTCCATGACCTGTGTTGCCTTAAATACAAGAACAAGCTGCTGCTTGGCCTGGAGGGGAAGTGCTTTGTTGAGGTTCCAAGCTTGTATTGATTTGGGTTCACAGAAAAAAATTAGTGTAGGTTAAACCAGGAGAAAGAGTCCTCAGTTGCTCAGGGACCCCTGTGACTCATTTCCTGTTTGCAGATCCCTACTGGTTCTCTCTCGGATTCAATCCTTGTTCAGCTTGTCTCTCAGCCTGGACTCCAAGCCCAATTTCCACTTCACCCGTGTGACTCAGTGGTGATCAGATGAAACCCTTTTGTTCTCAGCTCGCAGCTGGTGGCATTTTGTGCAACCTTCAAGGCATCACTCGACAAGGAGAGTGTCGAGCCGACACTGCCAGTGCTGTTGAGTGTCCTGATACAGCCTGCATCCTTTCCCAGGGTCCTTCAAGTGATTAAGGCTTCACACTGTGATTTTACAGTGTTCAAAGCGAGTTTACATGGCCTCATTGGAGCTTAACAGCAAAGTTATGAAATAGCAGGTGGTTATTATCATTTTATAGCCGAGAAAGCCGGTCAGGAAAGGCAGATTACAGTGTAATCTTGAGGTTGCTATTTATTTACTTCCTTTCTCCAAGCCTTAGTTTCTTCGTCTGTAAAGATAAGCGTTGGAGTACTGTGATCTCAGGTCTTTTCCGGTCAGGGTGAATGACTGCTTCCATGACCCTGTGACACTGAAATAGGGCTTGGAAACCAATATGGAGGATGAGCAAGAAGAGAGATGAACAAGAAGACAGATCTAAAGTGCACGAGGTGTGTAGTTAAAAGCATTCACAAGTTTTGTGAAGGAAGCCGGTCTCTGAGATGTTAAAGTGTTCCACTACAGTAACCATTTTACTATACATGTATACAATACTGTGCGCTGGAGACATAGGCAGTAAAATGTATCTTAATAAAACCAAACAGTGGTTAATACCCAAGACGACACCTGGAAGTGTGCCCTGCCCTATGGGGATGGGAAGTGGCATGCCTCTCCTCCAGGACGCAGGTCGGCTAGAAGGGCTTGGCTGGCAGGCATCTGGAAATCTCATGTCATGTCCAGACGCTGCAGGTGACAGCGTCGCATCACAGGGAGTGGTCCCACTGTGGGCAACATGGCAGCTTCTAGCCGGGAAACCCGGACCCGCTTCCGGGTTCCGTACTGCTGGCCAGGCTACTTCCGGCAGCGCGATGGCTGGGTTCCCGGGACTCGAACGGAAGTTCCGGCGGGGGCGGCCGAGGGGGAAGAGTGTGTGTCTGTGCGGGAGAAAGGGGAGAATCGCCCGACCGGTCTCGGAAGCCCCTGGGAGTGAGGTACCCAGCCAGGCATGCGGAGAGGCTGCGAGGGCCCCGGGGCGGCGGCGGGGAGCGGCCGGAGGGCGCTGTCCAGTCCTGGGACGGCGGGGCCAGGGGCTGCGCGCGTGGCGGGAGAGCGGCTGCGCGCCGGGGAGTGGGAGACCCCATTGTGGGGCGGAGGCTCCCCCGGGTCAGTGCCCCTTTGTGGACGGGTGCGAACTCAGGGGCAGGGCAGCAAATGCCACTGTAGGGATGTGATGACCCTGGGTCCAAGTTCCCACTGTGGAGAATGGGAGACACCAGGTCATCCTTTGGAGAGTGGGAGCCGGGTGGAGGTGGGAGTCCCCGGAGCCGAGGAGGAAGGGGATCCTAGCTTAGAGCGGCAGGTGCATTCCCTGGGGGAAGAGGAACCTCAGGGTCAGCGGTGTGGAAAGACGCTCTGTGATCTTCCTACCTTGTGGAGAGGCAGTTGGGGTCAGAGCTGGGAGGTGGGAGCCTGCAGGAGGGCGGGGCGCCCTTTAGAAGACACTTCAGAGGCAGGTAGCGGAAGCTTCCGGAGTTTGGAGGATGCTAAGGATGGGAGGGGCCAGGCAGCCTGATATTCTTTTGTGTTGGGAGTCCCAACACCTGTTCATTTGGAGACCCATTTGGACTCAGTGGCAGCAGCAACAGCAGGTAGCCCCGGGGAGGTGGGAAGGCTTGGAGCACCAGTTTGTGGTGGAAGATGTCAGAAGGGAGTGGTTAGGCCCTCATGGGACATGGGGGGCTTCCAGAGGCCCTAGGAATTTTTTACTGAGCCAGAAACTGTTGTGAAGACTGGATAGGGGCTGGAGGGGAAGAGAGGGGAAGAGAGAGGAAAGATGGGAGGTGGGTAGGACTGAAAGTCTGTTTCCTTGGCATTTTCTCTCCTTCATCTCCCTAGGGCCAGGACCCAGGGAAGAGGGGCTCCAGGGTTCCAGGAAAGGGACACCTGGGGCCCTGGGAGGATATAGTTAACACTCGGGTGCTTATGGGGGAAGGCTGCAGGAAACACCCTGCCTTTCCTTGTCCCCCATTTTCAACCCCCGTGCCAGCCCATCTGTACCACGCTTAGGCTCTGGGGTTGCGTCAGAACCAGGGATGTGAGTTCTAGACCATGAGGATGGCTGCCTCTGCTTCTCAACTTTGGGATGGGACCAACTTTCTTTTTTGGTTTTTCATGACAATGTTTCTCTGTGTATAGCCCTGGCTGTCCTGGAGCTCACTCTGTAGACCAGGCTGACCTCGAACTCAGAGATCCGCCTGCCTCTGCCTCTTGAGTGCTGGGATTAAAGGCGTGTGCTACCACCTCCTGGCAAGGGCCAACTCTCCATCCCTCTGCCCCAGACTTCTCTTTGCCCGTGTTTTTTCTCAGCTCAGAATCAACCCCTGGTGATGTGTAGAGCTGATGGCCTGGATGGGCTTCTTAAGCCAGAAAAGGTTTCTCTGGCCCGGCTTTGCTCTTGACCTCCCACCTTCCCTTGCACAGGCCCAGCCTGCAGGAAGCCCTGCAGTGTATGTGTGGTAACACCATGTCTGTGCCCCTGCTCACCGACGCTGCCACCGTGTCTGGAGCTGAGCGGGAAACGGCCGCGGTAAGGACCCCTGGGCCAGACTTGTGGGTGGTGACTGGATGTCGGCAGTGTGGGAAACATGGAGGTGGCAGGATGAGGAGGGACTAGCCTGAAGCTAGGAGGGGGTTAATAATCTGTTGGCTCCCCCAGGCCCTAGCCCTGGGGCGAGCTGGAGTTGGAAGATCTAATGGGGTCCTTCCCATCCCGTTTTTTGCCTTTTTCCCAGGTTATATTTTTACATGGACTTGGAGACACAGGGTGAGTGAGCTGGGGGTGAGGTGCTCCTCCATCAGGCGGGGTGGGGGGCCATTGTCCCTCTCGATCCTCCCCATACCGGTGCCTCTTCTTCCCTCCCACAGGCACAGCTGGGCTGACGCCCTCTCCACCATCCGGCTTCCTCATGTCAAGTACATCTGTCCCCATGCGTGAGTGTCACCCAGCTAGAGAGGGACTGGCGGGGGTCCTCTAGGCCTAGGCCTGCTCTTTTCATCAGCTGCCTCCTGGGGCTTGGGCTTAAAGCAATCAGGCCTTGTCCAGTCTTATCTCCCTAGGGCCCTAGGAACGGGCTCCGGTTCCTGCCTTCACTCCCAAGGCTTCCTAGACCCAAGACCTCCTAAAAAGAGCCTTCCCCAAGTACTCACCCTCTGAGCTGGACCCCATCACCGGCTGTTAGTCTCTGCTTCTCCATCCTCACTGCTGATGCCCCAACCCCAGCCTCCAGCCCCACGTGGCAGGTTGCCTGGCAACACTTGAAACACAGGCCCTGCCTGCTGGGAGGGGCCCCCAAGGGCAGTTCTGCCCATTCCCAGGCTCTCTACTGACGCTTTATCCCTCCTGAGACCTGGCCACCCCTCCACAGGCCCAGGATCCCTGTGACGCTCAACATGAAGATGGTGATGCCTTCCTGGTGAGTTTGGGGGCAGGAAAGAGATGGGACCTGAGGGAGCTACAGGGGCTGGCCAGGTCTTCCCAAAACTGCTGCCTCTGCCTGCCCAGGTTTGACCTGATGGGGCTGAGTCCAGACGCCCCAGAGGATGAAGTTGGCATCAAGAAGGCGGCAGAGAACAGTAAGCCCCCAGCCGCTCCCTCCCCACCCCACCCCCCTTCCCAAAGCACTGGGCAGGGCCCGCTTGCTCCCTTCAGGCCTCCAGCAGTTTCCTCCACCCAGTCGTACCCTTCCCCCACCCCCAGTCAAGGCTTTGATTGAACATGAGATGAAGAACGGGATCCCTGCCAATCGAATCGTCCTGGGTGGCTTTTCGCAGGTGAGGAGGGCGTGAGGGGGAGGGGCTGGGTGTCGGAGCTGTTCCCTCCTGACCTTTCTTCCTTCTCCTCTCCCCAGGGCGGGGCCCTGTCCCTCTACACAGCTCTGACCTGCCCCCACCCTCTGGCTGGCATCGTGGCGTTGAGCTGTTGGCTGCCTCTGCATCGGAACTTTCCCCAGGTGAGTCTCCCTGGAAGCCCCCCCTCTCCTGAGGGGCCCTGGGGCTTGGGCACCGTGCTGCCCGTGGCACTGGTCTTGCCTTGGAAATTCTCTCTGGCCCACAGGCAGCCAATGGCAGTGCCAAGGACCTGGCCATCCTTCAGTGCCATGGGGAGCTGGACCCCATGGTACCCGTTCGGTTTGGGGCCCTGACAGCTGAGAAGCTCCGGTCTGTTGTCACACCCGCCAGGGTCCAGTTCAAGACCTACCCTGGGGTCATGCACAGCTCCTGCCCTCAGGTTAGTGGGGACGGCCGGCCCCTGTGCTCTCCCTCCTCCCTCCAGCGAGGAAGCTCACAGTCTCCTTATCCCAGGAAATGGCAGCTGTAAAGGAATTCCTGGAGAAGCTTCTGCCTCCGGTCTAACTAGTTGCTGGCTCCCATCGCGGTCCCCCAGCTCACGAGGGACCCCGCAAACAATCACCGCACCATCTTGGATCTGAGCCGGTCGAATCCCTGTCCCTTCTCTTCCCACCCTGTCCTCCTCCCACTGGCCTCTGGGGCAGGTGGCTGAGGCTGGCCAGGCCGTCCTGCTGGCCTCGGCCATCTGGAAATCAGCAGCAGGGGTGGGCTGCTTTCTTACCCACTTCCCCAGAGGCGGGCCCCAGCAGCAGTATTGGAGGGGCTGTAGGCAGTGGGAGAAAGGGGCCCAGCTGCTGACCCACTCACTCAGGACCTCACTCACTAGCCCCGCTTTGGGCCCCCTCCTGCGACCTCAGGGTTTGGCCCGTGGGGCCCTCATGGGCCCCCACCCCAACGATTCTGCCCGGATAATCGCGTCTCTCCTGCCTCACTGCAGCTGCTTCTGTCACGAATGTGTCCATGGCCCGGGGCCCTTGCTACTGTGGGCTGCCTGCTCCTGGGCAGGCAAGCCAGTGAGGAGGTCGAGTCCCTCAGGGCCTCCCCTCAGCCCCGCCACCAGGGGGGCTGGGCCCTGCCTCCCCATGGCCCTTCCCTGCAGGCCTGGAGCCTGCAGGGCTGGATTGAGGTTCAAGGGCCCCCTGTCCCCTGCCGTCTCACCCTCACTATGTCCCCACTCTAGGGCAGGGAGGTGTGGGGGAGGGGCTGTGTCTTGTCTTCTGTCTCCATGTGGTTTTGGGTGTTTTTCTTGTTTTGTCCTGGATTCCGATAAAATTAAAGAGATTGCTTCCTCAACTCTCAGGCCTGCCTGATGTAGTGCCGAGTGGCCATCTGTGAGATTGCCCCAGGATAAGAAAACGTTTTTATTTTAAATACTTTGGAAAGCTCAATCACAGCAGTGTAAGTTAGTGCCTGGGGGAGGCTATGGTCCCAGACCCCATGGCCCTCACAGGCTCTAGGGGTCCCATGAGCTCCTGGACCCTGGGGGAGATAGGCTGGAAAGACCCCGGCTTCTTCCTGGTTAGTGGAGCCAGACAGAGGTCTCCTGCCTGGAGGGCTGAACAGGCAGCTGGCATTTGAGGTAGGGTGGCCCCAGCTTGGCCCCAGAGCATGAGGGTACAGGGTCCCGTGGAGGCTGGAAAGCAGGCAGCGGCTCCTCTTCCTTTCCTGGTCCATGGTAAGGAGGTCCTCAGGCCTGTGCCCCAAAGCCTGAAGGGTTCTGCTTCTGCCAGCGCCATAGATCTTCACCTGTGCAGACATGGGTGGTCAGAGCTTGCCCGAGGACAGCCCCGAGGGGAGTTCCCCTTATAGCCAGTTCCTCACTCTTCCAGCTTAGGCAGACACTCACACATCCTGTCCAGGCCCAAGGCTGCTGTCCAGCCCAGCTCCTCATGGGCCAGGCTGGGGTTGGCGTAACAGGCCGCCACGTCCCCTTCCCGCCGCGCCACCACCTTGTAGGGGATCTGTAAGGGAGACAGTGGGTACCGGCTGAACAGGCCCGGGCCTTAGGAACCGCAAGCAAGGGCCGTGTCCCAGGCACTGAAGTTCCAGGTGGCTGGAGAAGGGAACCCTGGGCTGCCTACTGCATGGCGGGCCTACCTTCTTCCCTGAAGCCTTCTCCATGGCTTGGACCATCTGCAGGACGGAGTAGCCTGTCCCTGTGCCCAGGTTGTAGGTCTGCCCGGGAGAACAGGGGATGTTGAAAGGGATGGCTTATCCACCCCCCATGACACATTTGCCCCAGATTCCAACCCTTTCCCTCCCTGGCTTCCTACCCGGCAACCACATTGCTCCTTCAGCTTCTTCAAGGCTGCTATGTGGCCCTTGGCCAGATCCACCACGTGAATGTAATCCCTTACCCCTGTGGAGGAAGTGGTTAGATGGGCAGCTGGTCCCCCTCAGACCCCTCCTTCCTCTGATCTTAGGCTCACCTGTCCCGTCCTCCGTAGCATAGTCATCACCGAAGACATTCAGGGCCTCTCGTCGTCCAATTGCCACCTAGGGCAGAGGTCAGGTCAGCTTCCTCAAGAGCCCGGTACCAGTGGCACTCCAGGCACCCAGGATTACCCCCTACCTGGGAGACATAGGGCATGAGGTTGTTGGGGATGCCCTGGGGATCCTCGCCAATGCGGCCGGAGGCATGGGCGCCCGTGGGGTTGAAGTACCGAAGCAGCACTGCGTTCCAGGCCTGTGTGGTGCGGGTCAGACAATGAATGGGCCCGGGGCGCACACCGCCGCCGGGAGTCCCAACTCAGCCCACAGCCGTCTACCTCGCCCATGTCCGCTCTGAGTTCTCTATGAATGAGCGAGGGATGGCCCTTGCGTGCCGTTTGCTGTGCCCTTAAGCAGGATATTGCCACTTGTGAGCAGCCTCTGTCTCCTTGTGCTAAGAGTGCCCAGGGTCCCAATCCTGGGCTCAAAGTGGATGGGGTGAAAGCTGGGGCAAGAGGTCCTCACCGTGTCCGCCCTGCACAGGTCCCGGATCATCTCCTCGATGAAGAACTTGGACTTTCCATAGGGGTTGGTACAGCCCCCAGTGGGGTGGGCCTCGTCCAGAGGCAGGTACTGGGGGTTCCCGTACACGGTGGCCGAGCTGCTGAATACCAGATTCTTCACCCCGTGGGCCCTCATGATCTGGCCGTGGAGGGGAGGGTCAGTGCCCCGTACCTCACGAATTAGTCCCACTTGTTACTCCACCCTAGGAGGGCGGGCCTGAGGCGATGGGCAGGATCAGTTACAGAGAGGGAAACAGGCTGGGAGGTAAAGAGAGGCATGTGTCCGAGATAATACAGCTTGGGCCGTGTCTGGTTCTCCCACACAGGCCCATACTGTGGCTGGCCTGCCAGAGCGCCTGGGGCCCAGCTGGGGTCTGTGTCCTGTTCCTCTTACCTCCAAGAGCTGGATGGTCCCTGTTAGGTTAACTCTGTAATAATCCAGAGGCTTCTGCACTGACTCGCCCACAGCCTTCAGCCCAGCAAAGTGGATGACGGCCTTAAAGCTGTGCTACATGGGCAAAGCACAGGTCAGAGGAGGCTCTGCGGCCTCAGAACTTGGCTCCTCCTACCTGCCAAGCAGCACCCACCTTCTTTGTTTGTTTTGAGACAGGGTCCCTCTATGTAGCCCTGGCTACCCTGGAACTTGTGATGTAGACCACACTGGCCCAAAACTCACAAATGATCCGCCTGCCTTTGCCTCCCAAGTGCTGGGTTTAAAGGCATGCGCCACCACATCCAGCTGGCACCCACCTTCTTAAAGAGTTGCTGCAGGGCTGCCTGGTCCAAGATGTCCATCTCCTCAAACTCCACAGAGCGGCCAGTCAGTTCCTGGACCCGCCGCAGGCTCTCGGGCATGGAGTCCCCTCCTGGTGGGGCATGTAGGGGCAGACTATCAGCATTAGAAGATATAAAACCCCTCCAGAAACCACTCACTGCTTCCCATCCAGCTCACTCACCACGAATGGCATTATGGAAGTTGTCGATGACCACAGGGGAGTAGCCAGCCTCCAGCAGCTCCAGTACCGTGTGGCTGCCGATGTAGCCAGCCCCGCCTGTGACCAGCACCTTCTCTGCCATGGTGCCTGGTTAGAGGACACAGGGTTTCAGAGGTGGCTGAAGGTGTCTGCTCTGGGGCCTCCCTCAGGGATGCTGGTCCCTTAACCTCATCTCGGAGGCTGCAGTTGTGGGCCCTAGTTTAAGGAGGGGCTCCAGGGTCACCCTGGGTCTGACTGGATACCTAGCACTTTCTGGCTATAGGGGCTGAAGCGTCCCTACCCTCTGTAGGCCATAGCGTCCATCTCCATGACTAATTACTGTACACATACATGTATTAGGAGGGCCCAATGAGGTGATTTAAAGGCCTGCCGCCTGTATATGGAAGAGTCAGGCACACCATATTTTCTACTGATATAGGGGTGGGAAGATGGGATTTTTGAGAACCCAACCTTCCTGCCTCCTTGTCTGGAGAATGGGCAGTCCTGGCAGAAGAGAACACCGCTTCAAGATTGGGATGCTAGAATTAGAAAAGGGGGTTTGTCTCTATAAACTCAGGCCTTCTTCCAGGAGCGAAAGGTTCCTGGGTTTGGTGACTAATGTCTAGTTCTCTAACAACCCTCGCCCTGGAAGGTCAATTGGGAGGAAGCAGAAAATACAGTTAATGACTTCAAGGGTGGGGTCCTGAGCCAGGGAGGCTGAGCCTGGCTCCGAGGCTGCAGTACCAGCTGCCCAGGAGTGGATAGGGCTTCTCCACCCTGGGGCAGCCAATAGCTCAGTTTTGGCACAGCTGGGTCACTCCTGGCTTGAGGCAACAGATCCCGCCCAACTTCGGGCAGCAGGGAGTGGGCCGGTGTCGACGTGGATTTGGCCCGCACTCCAATGCCAGGTGTGCATCCCCGCCCTGAGCAAACTACTGGGCGGCCAGGAAGGAAATCCACACAGTGAGGCCTTTCATTCTCCAGATCTGGCCTGTTGCCCTCTGTCTTTCTCCGGGCTGCCTCAAGTCGCGGCTGGGGTTACTCTGCTGCAACTCGCTGGCCCGGGCGCCCACTGCACGCCGGACTCTACTCCGTCCGCACTTGTGCGTCCCCTCCCCGCGAGTTTTCCCCACATCTGGAGGAGGCAGGTTGTTTCCACTAGCCCTTGATGCTGGGGTCAGCCCAGAGTCAGTCTGCCTGAGGTCACACAGCAGCGAGAACTGAGCTGGGTGGGATCCCCTAGCCTGCTCCCCGCTGCTCCCGCACTGCGTACAGATGCAGTGAAGCGGTCACCGCGGGGCCCTGGAGGCAGAAAGGCTGCCCTGAGGCCGCTCTGCTCCAGACCTGGGCGGGTGACCTTGTCAGTTGTCCCCTCCTCAGTTTTCCCAGGCTGTACAATGGAGGGGCGAGGACGGGCGCTGGGCACCAAGAGCCCAGGCGCGGCCCAGCTTAGCGCTGGACTTTGGTCCTGGGCTGGCAGCGCGAGCGGGGAGCCAGGCCTGGAATGAATGGGCTCGGGTGGCCCCCGCCCCCGCCGCGGGAAACGCGAGCAGAGTGGGGGAGGACCCGGCCCTGCCTCGAGCACAGACAGACCCTCTTGGAACTCCCTCGCTCCCCGCCAACCACAGGCCCCTCCGAGCCCACGGAGCCCTTCATTCCGCTACCCAAACCTGCTGAGGATCCCGCGCTGGCTCCAGGTGCCGCCTCCCGCGACCAGCGCGGCGGCCCCTTTAAGAGCTGACAGCCCAGCCTGGCCACACCCCCTTCACGCCCTCCAGGAAACGCGTCTACCGGGTTACCTGCTCTACGGCGGCTCTGGAAGGACAAATGGCCTGCACAGGCTTTAGGCGACTGCGCGGTGCGTTTCCATCGAGGGCGGAAATGAGGGGCGCGGCGCGGACGCCATCCGGTGAGTCGCGAGCTGTCCGGGAGAAACAGTGGCAGGATGGTGGCCGCTGGCTTCCGAGTTTCCCCGCATATGTCCAGCTGCGAGCTGGATCCAAGTCTACTTTGGGAAAAAACCCTGGAGCGGGAAGGAACCTTTAAATTCTTCGTAGCAATTGCTATGCCCATCACTGAGCCACTGCCTCCCTCCCTCCCTCACCCAAAAGTGTGTCTGCACCTGCCCACCCTACAGCAATTCAAGACTCAGTTTTGCCTCTGGAAGATGGCTCAGAGCACTTGTTGCTCCTGCAGAGGATCTGAGTCCTTTTCCCAGCACCCACATCCTCCCTATCATTCCAAGGGATCCCATGTCCGCTTCTGGCCTCCATGGCTTCCTGCACGTACCTGACATTCTCTTACATAAACATAAATAAAAAAAAATCTTCCCTGGCGGCACAGGCCTTCAATCCCAGCACTTAGGAGGCAGAGACAGGCGGATTTCTGTGAGTTTGAGGGCAGCGTGATCTACCTAGTGGGTTCCAGGCCAGCCATGGATGAATAGTGAGAACCTGTCTCAAAAGAACCCAAAAACTTTGAAAAAAAAAAAAAAGTTACTTGTTACTCTTCACAATCATCTGCAAAAAGTGCAGCTACTGGGAATCTACAGCCACTCTGTCTTGGGGCTCCTGAGTCACCCACACAGACACAATTTTTTTTTAAAAAGATTATTTATTTATTATGTATACAATGTTATGCCTGCAGGTCAGAAGAGGGCACCAGATCTCATTATAGATGGTTGGAAGCCACCATGTGGGTGCTGGGAATTGAATTCAGCACCTCTGGAAGAGAAGTCAGTGTTCTTAACCTCTGAGCCATCTCTCCAGCCCCAGACACATTTTTTTTAAAGTGGGGAGGAAAAGTTTCAAGAATGTTCGGCAGTTAGGAGCTGGTGCGGGTGCTACTTTTGCTGAGGACAGAAGTTCTGTTCTTAGCCTGCATGGCTCACAATGTCTGTACACAGCTCCAGGTGATCCCCAACATCTTCTGGACTCTTCAGCCCTTGTACTTACACATGCACATACCCATACACACATGTGTGTATATTTGCATGCGTGTGTGTGTGTGTGTGTGTGTGTGTGTGTGTGTGTGTGTGTATATACATAAAAATAAATCCTAGGGGCTGGAGAGATGACTCAGTGGTTAAAAGCTCTGGCTGCTCTTCCAGAGAACCATATTTCAATTTCCAGCAGCTACATGGTAGTTCACAACTGTAACTCCAGTTCCAGGGCAGCCAACACACAGACATACATGCAAGCAACATAACAATGCATACAATGCATATAAAATTAAAAATAAATAAAATTTATTTAAAAAAAAAAAGCCTGGTGGTGGTGTCAGTACTTACTTTTAATCCCAGCATTCGAGAGGCAGAGGTAGATGGATCTCTGGGAGCTCAAGGCCAGCCTGGTCTACAGAGTGAGTTCTAGGACAGCCAGTACATAGAGAGACCCTGTCTCAAGTAACAACAACAAAACCCTAAAAATAATTTTTAAAAAGTAAGAGGCAAGAAGCCAGGCATGTTGGCTATTGCAATCCCAGAACTTTGGAGGCAGAGGCAGAATTGCTGAGTTCAAGGGCAGCTTAGACTACTTATCAAAATCAATGTAGGGCTTATGAAGTCTGCAAGTCTATGAGGATTTGAGTTGAGTACCCAGAACTCATATGAAAAAAAAGTGGGTTTTTGGTGGGTGGGTGGGATGTTCAAGACAGGGTTTCTCTGTGAAGTTTTGGTGCCTGTCCAGGATCTCGCTCTGTAGACCAGACTGGCCTCGAACTCACAGAGATCTGACTGGCTCTGCCTACCAAGTGCTGGGATCAAAGGCATGTCGTGTCCCGCCCCCCCCCCCCCTTGTTTGTTTTTTAAGTCAAGCTGGGGCTGGAGAGATGACTCAGAGGTTAAGAGCATTGGCTGCTCTTCCAGAGGTCCTGAGTTCAATTCCTAGCAACCACATGATGGTTCACAACCATCTACAATGGGATCTGGTGTCCTCTTCTGGCATGTAGACAGAACACTATACAAATTATTAAATCTTTTTTTTTTTTTTTTTTTTTTTTTTGAGACAGGGTTTCTCTGTGTAGTTTTGGTGCCTGTCCTGGATCTTGCTCTTTAGACCAGGCTGGCCTCGAACTCACAGAGATCCGCCTGGCTCTGCCCAAATTATTAAATCTTTAAAAAATAAATAATAAAAAGTCAAGCTGGACATTGTCATTCTAGGGAAGCAGGGACAGGTGGATTCCTAGGGGCTCACTGGCCAGGTAGCCAGCCTACCAGGCTAATAATGGCCAATAAGAGACCTGTCTCGCTGCTCCGGGAACACAGCCTCAGAAGCAACTCCTTGGGTGTCCTGGCCAGCCACCATGCTGGTCTCAGGAATTAACTCACAGCCATGATTTCCAATCACTGGTCTGGGGACTCAGTGTGGTATTGTATGATATTGTGTGTTCTGACAAAGCTTGCCTGGGAATTAGAGGGCAGAGCTAGCCACTAGTTAACCATAGTGGCCAGGCAGTGGTGGCACCCACTTTTAATCCCAGCACTTGGAAGAAGCAGGAAGTTCAGGAGTTCAAGGCCACCCTGGGCTACATGAGATTGGCTCACACCTTTAATCCCAGCATCGGGATGTTGAGACCAGCATATAAGGCAGGTAGAGACAGGAGAGTCCATTCAGTCTGAGGATTCCTAGAGACGGGATCCCACCAGATTCGGTCTGAGATTTCGTAGACGTAAGAAGTTTCTGGGGCTGCTGCTCTGCTTCTCTGATCTTTCAGCTTTCACCCTCCATATCTGACTCCAGGTTTTTATTTATTAAGACTAATTAGGATCTCCCTTCAGTGTGGAGATGGAAGAAATCCAGAGATGAACTAGTCAAAGTCTTCCCTCAGAATGTGATTTTATTCCCCTACTTATAAACACACATTTTCGTGATTGGCTATTAGAAAATTAAATCTTTAATTACATAAGCTGTTTTCAAAAATCATGTACAGAGTGATTTCCCAGAGATGCTGGGGTTGGCAGATGGCCACCACAGATCAATCCCCACCAAATGCTCGGCTGGCTTGTGGGAAAACTGCTCTCTGTTCTCTGTAGGAGAGCACAGGAACCACAGTCACGGCAGGGTGGGCATCAGCTCTGTTAGCCAGCAGATCCGCCCAGGAGACCCAGGGCCATCCCAAGCAAATGCTCAGGCACTCAGCTCTGGGGCACTGGTCCACAGAGAAGGGAGACTTCCAGGCTCCAAGGCCACTCAGTCATCCCCAGGCCTGGCAGCTCCTGCCCTTTCTGTCTAGAAGGACCTTGGTTATACCTGCTCATTTGTTCACATCCATTTCCCCCATCAAGGAATCATTTGTGCATGCCCACCCCCCACAGTCCCAGGTCTCGGGTGAACAAGAGCTCAGAGTCTGCAGGTGGCCTGTGCCACTTTGGAGCTGGTTTTTCTGTTCAGGGCTTGACAGATGAAGTCTCCAGCTTCGAGGAGCTTCTGGAGTTCCACGCCCTTGAAGAAATAAGTTAGAGGATGAAGAAAATCAGGGCATGCCCTCAACACCTAGGGAAAGAGACTAGACAGCTGTGGCGTGGAAAAAGGGAGGGTGGCAGCCCACAGACCCCTCTCAACCACTGTGGAGGTCATGTCCAGCTGGCGCCAGGGTTCATTCTTGAGAGTGGCTTGTGTGATCACCACTTTATTAGTTTTGTCCCATCTCCATGTTCAGGGTCTAGCACAGAGCCTGGCCCATGAGAAATGTAATGTTCATTTATTTGTCTTTGTCTTTTGTTCCTGTGCCAGGAATGGCACCCACCCCATTGCTCATGCTAGTCAAGGGTTCTACTCCCGAACCGCTTTTTGACCCCTACGCAAGTGTCTGTGAGAGAACTCTATCTGCTGCTGCTGAGTACTGAGTGCTAAGTACTCTACACGGTTTCTTCTGGTGCTGGAGACTGAACCCAGGGTCTCACCACTGACCTATACCTTTGGCCATACATTTACTGTATCCTGTAACAACCAATGAGTACTACTTTTACCGCCATTACCCGAGTTTAGAGAAATGAAATAATTTGAGGTTGCATGGCCTGTGAGGACAGATTTGGGTTTTAAACCATCAGATCTCAAAGCAGAGACTGGGTGACTTCTATGCCACCACTGATGTCCCTACAGAGTCTGGTGGAGCCCTGTGCAGCTAATTTCACTGCCCTCATTTCCCAGAGAAAACAGGCTCAGGGGAAGTTCTCACTGCAGGCCACAGAGCTGGCCCCTCTGAAGGCTCCTTCCACATCCGCTTTCTGGAGGGCCTCCTAGAACTAACTGTGGACATCACTCTGAGATCTTGGTCTCCTGTGCTCATGGTGAACCAGACCAAAGTCTCTTCTGCCAATGCTGGGCGCCCCCTCTGCCAGAGGCCTCTCTCCTCACCCCCTTCGGCTGGCCCCTTCTCATCCTTGGAGTCTTCGTCTACTTCTAGATGACCAACCAAGCCTCTCCAACTGCTGAGACACTCGTCTACTGGTTATTCATATACACACACTCCAGGCTGCTCTGCCGGGGCCTCAAACCCCACAAGGACTCGTTCTCCATATCAGCCACTCTCCACTCTCCCAGATGATTGTTTAATCTCATCTCTGCTCTCAGAAATAGAAAGCTGGAGAGATGGCTCAGAGGGAAAGAGCACCGACTGCTCTTCCAGAGGTCCTGAGTTCAGTTCCCAGCAACCACATGGTGGCTCACAACCATCTGTAATGAGATCTGGTGCCCTCTTCTGTATAGGTAATAAATAAATAAATAATTCTTAAAAAAAAAAAAAAAAAAGAAAAAGAAAAAGAAAGCTCCCACAATCCTTGCCCCCCTTCTCCTAAATGCCCCCAGCGCTAAGCATGCCCATCACACCTAGTTCAGAGAAGTCACGGCCAGGGGGTAGGCGGGCTTACCGTGTGAATCCCTAAGCCAGTCAGCATGTAGACCAGGTCCTCGGTAGCCAGGTTCCCTGAGGCACCTTGTGCATAGGGACAGCCTCCAAGGCCCGCCACAGAGGAGTCCACAACGCTCACTCCCATCTGGAAACATAAGGATGGGGAAATGTGGTTGCTGCCGAGCCTGGAGCCCATGGAGCTGCCCCTCACAAACCTCCTGCCCTGGCATCAGGAATTCTGCCAGCGCCATTCTCCTGCCTGGGATCCTGTCAGGGAATCCATTAAGAGACAGAGCTTCCCTCCCTTGCTCAGCGGGTCTCCTCTGCTGGAGGACCTTCCCCAGCCCTTCACTGTTGGCTCCCGTCTCCATTTCCCCCTTTGGGGCTCTCCTTACAGAGGCCCCTCTGGGCACCTCGGTCCAGTGAGAATGGCAGAGATGGTAGACTCAGTTCTTTGGAGGTGTTTTGTTTTGAATAGAGCCAGAGAAATGGGAGCTTGGAGGGTCCCAAAGGGATTTACAACGGGCCGGTGACACAGCTCAGAGGGTAAAGGTGCTTGCCACCAAATCTGACAGCCTGAATGTGATCCTCTGGCAGAAGGAAAGAACCAGCTCTGACCCCCACAGGTCCACGCCCATCCTGTCCGGTCTTCACACCAGCTACGGCCCTGATGCCAGCATGGAAGCCAACACCAGAGGGCGCCATTGCTGCAGGTTCCACCTGCTTTCTCTCTTGGTCACACTGCCGCCGCCAAAGCCTTCTCCGGTTCCCTCAACATGGCGAGCAACCCCCCAGGCCTCTGCACAGCATCCTCTCTTGTCCCTCAGGATTCAGTCACCTTCTGTGGGAAGTCATCCCTTACCTATGGGTCACCATCTCTGGCCTCGTACACATTTGCTTCAGTACTTTTTTCAAGACCTTTTTTTTTTAATATAGCCCTGGCTGTCCTGGATCTCACTCTGTAGCCCAGGCTGGCCTCGAACTTACAGAGATCTGCCTGCCTCTGCCTCTCAAGTGCTAGGATTAAAGGCATGCGCCACCACCGCCACCACCTGACACCTCAATACTTTTATTAATAAATAATAATTAATAAATGAAACTGGGCTGCCCCACCCCATGCCCTCTTGGAGAATGGGCACATGGCTTTCATTTACCTGCAGGGCTACCAGGGTGTTGGCCAGGGCTTGACCATAGGTATCATGGCAGTGGACAGCCAGCGCGGCCACAGGTACCTCACGCATGACGGCCGTCAGCATGTCCTTCATGAGTCCCGGGGTGCCTACACCAATGGTGTCCCCAAGGGAGATCTCATAGCAGCCCATCGAGTACAACTTCTTAGCAACCTGGAAAAGCGAACAGATACGTAGAGGACCCCCCGAGGCACCAGCATGTGACACTGGGGCTCAGAAGCAGGGACTCTGGCCAGGCAGTGTCCCCCCCCAGCTGCTGTGTTCCTATTGGGTCCTAGAACCTGACTGCTCCAATGGAGGGGATGAGCATCACCCAGCGGAGACTGAGACCAGAACGGGGGCAGCAGCCACCACCACCGCCGCCGCCGCCACAGCCCATGACTCCCTCTTCCTCCACTGTGCTGACTGGGGTCGGGAGAAGCCCTTCTTCCTTTGGCAGTAGGGAGTGTGGACTGTGGGTCTAAGACACTAGCTGTGTACTTGAAGGAGCCACAGGGAACTCCGGCACTTTCCAGCAGCTCATTTGCAGCTGGAGAGTCACTGCGAAGCGTCAGCAGCCAAAGCCGCTCCCGAGGGAGGCTGCCCACGCCTGCCTCTGAGCAGAGTGAAGCTGTGGCAGGACACAGATGTTTACTGAAGATCATCCTGATAAACGACACAGTGACATCTGACCCTCCACCCCTGTCAATGTGCCTATCAGGTGACAGTAGTGGCAGGTCTCTGGGGGTCATGTGATGCTGAGTTCGAGTCCCCACTCTGGGGGTGTGTACCTGCTTTGGGAGTGTAACTTCTCTGAGCTTCAGTTTCTGCTTCTGGGACATGGTGATAGGGTACAGTGAGGGCAGGTGACATCAGGGGTAGGGTGCACAGACCAGGGGACAGCAGCCACTCTGCATCCACGGCAGCCTTGGGGCCATTCCTCTAACAATGCCACAAGGTACTGGGGAGGACAGCACAATGGGAGAGACCCCTCTGCCATCTGCACCCTACGTGGCAGATGACTTGCTCCCTCACCTGTTCACGGGAGAACAGCATCAAATCGGCAGTGAGGCAGTGAGGATGAAAAGCCTGAAGTTCCTGGGTGACTCACACCCCGGTCCTATGTTGGGTCCTCCTCTGTGTAGCCCTGGTTACTAGTCAAGAGGATGTGTGTGGTCTCTCACCTACTACAAGGCATCTGGGGACTCTTGGGGATACCACACTGGCGATCATGCCTCAGTTGATGAGATGGGAAGCTGAACGCAGGGCTTTGGGGGGAGGGGTAGAGACCTGGCAAGGCGGTGGCCTGAGGGGCAGGTGTGGGCTGTGCTCAATATGAGTGTGTGAGGGGGGAAGGGAGGTGAGGGCACCTGTGCACGCAGGCTGGCAAGGCAGCCGACCCTCACAAGACCTTGCCCACTGCACACACCTCAGCTACTTTAGCCGGGGAGATCTTCCCCTCATAGGGGCATCCGAGGGCACACGAGACATACCTGTGGAAGAACCGAGAGGAACGGCGTCAGTGCCCCAGCTTGCTGGCCAGCAAGAGTGACTGGTGACCATCTGACACACATCCCTGGTGAGCCCACGGTAAACAGGGACTGGGCAGGAGGCCCAGGACTGGGTGAAAGGTTAACTCGGAGTGGGAGAAAGGCTCTTGGGCCTAGTTCCTGGGCGGGAGCACCAGAGAAACCTGCAGAAGGCGGGGCTAAGAGGCCACCCTTCCAGAAGCAGGGTTGCAGGTGTCTGAGAAGTCACAATAGGTATAAGGAAATAGAGTGCTCCTGAGCTGTCTGGAGGGGCAGCCCCGTGTGCTGGGGGAGATGGGCCAGCGTTTGTTCAGGTCACCAATGCCAGGATGAACACACAGGTTAGTGTAAGGATGGCAGGAACGGACGTGAGTCAGCGCCAAGGCTCGAGGGCCTGATGGCTCATCTACTTATTTATTCAGCTGAGGTTTACTGAGATGAAGATCACGTGCCAGGCACTGGGCAGAGCAGTGAGAGGACCCACGGATGGGCCCTAGCCTCCAGGAGCTTGTTCAAGTCAGGGAGATGGCAAATAAAACCATAGTCACATTGCGAGAGGGAGATAACTCCAGAAGGAGATAAGCCGTGAAGGAAGCGGCAACATGAAGAGGCATGGGCAGTCAGTGTAGTAAGGGCTGCCTAGGCAGACCTCCCTGAGGCCATGGCGCCGGAGTTAGAGAGGGGAGGGTCTTCAGGGAGCATGCCCAGGACAGAGCACCTAACCCACGGGGGTGTCAGGGGCCAAGAACGATGACGGGAGACAGGAGGGGAGCCCAGGCCTGGCCCGTGACAGTCTTGTGGGCTGTGCTGAGGACTCTGGGTGTTAGAAGCAGAGTCTGCTCTCACCACCCTGCTGGCATTGGGGCATCTTTAGAGAGTTGGGCTGAGGGGGGTGGTTCAAGCCTATAATCCTAGCACCGGGGAGGCTGAGGCAGGAGGATTGCCAGCTTTGGTGACATAATGAGTTCTAGGCCAATATGAACTAAAGAGTGAGATGTTGTCAGAAAAAAAGCAAACCAAAAAACCCAAACCCCTCATGCTCAAGAAAATATTCTATATATTAAGAGATAGAGCCAGGAGTGGTGGCGCACACCTTTAATCCCAGCACTCAGGAGGCAGAGGTAGGCGGATCTCTGTGAGTTCGAGGCCAGCCAGGGTTACATAAAAAGACCCTGTCTCAATAAATAATTAAGTAAATAAATAAAGTGTATAAATCAAAATAAAAAGAGATGGAGTAATGTTTGCTGGACCAACATTCCAAAAATAGTGGCGAGCTGAGCTTTCCATCCTAATTTCTCATTTACTCTCCAAACACTGCTAAACAAAAAAAAGCGGTGTGGTGGCACAGGCATCTGGCCTCAGCACTCGGGAGGCAGAGGCAGGCAGAACTCTGGGAGTTCGAGGCCAGCCTGGTCTACAGAGTGAATTCCAGGACAGCCAGGGCTACATAGGAAGATTGCGCCTCAAACAAACAAACAAAACCAAAACCAAAAACAGGGAAAGAAAAGTTAAAAGATTTACCAGGACAGAGCACAGGAGGGCTTATGACTGGAGACTCAGCTTCCCTGCCTCCCACCTGCTTATCCGGTCTTAAGCCCCTTCTTTCTGTGTGTAGGGCCCTGATGGGAAAGCAGCGCACCCTGGGACTGTGGGAAGTGGCCTGCCCCGAAAGAGAGAGAGAGAGAGCACAGCCCGTGTGGTGAGGGCAGCTGAGGAGCTAGACAGCTAAGTGCCATCTTTTGGGATCTCTGAAGACTTTGGAACCCCAAAGGAAGGGCGCTGTCTCCTGCTGAGGGGCAAAGAAAACCAAGAGGAGCCGACATCCGCAGAGGACCCTGCAGGAGCCGAGAAGCAGAGTGGAGGAGGAGGCAGCCTTCCGCCCACGGAGGGTGAGGGCGCAGGCCTCGAGGCAGCAGGCAGAGGGCATGTGGGAATGGTTAGAAGCTCCACAGGGCTGGAAGAGTGTGCAGAACCTCAGGCCAGGAGAGAGCCAGGAACTGCTGCTCACACTGCAGAGTGGCAGGATGCACACAGCCCCGAGAGCCACAGTAAAGGCCTCCACTCCATGTGCCCACAGCTAGTGGGAGAGCACCTTCCTAGCATGCTATACGGCTTCATCCGTGCTGGGTTTCATCCCCAGCACTGTATTTTTTATTTTATTATATTTTATTTTTGAGACAGGGTTTCTCTGGGTAGCCCTGGCTATCACAGAACTTGATCTGTAGCCCAGGCTGGCCTCGAACTCACAGAGATCCACCTGCCTCTGCCTCCTGAGTGCTGGGATTAAAGGCGTGCGCCACCTCTGCCCGTCCCCAGCAGTGGATTTTGTTCTTGCTGTTTGTTTTTTGATTTCTGAGACATTTAAAGGGATACACTACCAGGTCCCAAGCCACCAGGCCTGGCTTCCCAGCACTGTAAGAATCAAATCCTGGGGCTGGCCATGGTGGCATGTGCCATCTCAGCACTTGAGGCAGAGACAGGGGGATGTCTGTGAGTTCCAGGCTGACACTTGGTTAGTCACCATATTTAGGTCTGAGAGAAACCCCAGCTAATCTTCTGACTCCAGTCACTCAGAGAGGCTCAGGTATGGAGCTTGGGTTGTTCCTACCCAGCAGGAGCCTGAGGTGGAGAGACTGGCTGGTGGGAGATTCTGACTCCATTCCACGAGGACATTGAGGAAAGAGCCCCTTAAGGCCTGACTCACCCTCTCACAGGGATGCTGGCGGCCTGTGCGGCCTGCATGACTCCATCAAATCGCTGGAAACTCTCGTCTATGGAGCAGTTCACATTCTTCCGGGTGAAGAGCTCAGAGGCCGCCCCAAAGATGCAGACTTCCTTGGCACCTGCAGCTACCTGCCAATATCCAGGTGAACATGGTTAGCACTTTGCTCCAGAAGAACTGGTCCAGTGGTAAAATCTTTCTTGGGCAAGTTTTACGGCATGTAATTGTTACAGGTTAAACAGTCATATAAATATCCTTTAGGAAATACGCTGGGCCAGGCGAGACGGCTCAGTAGGCAAAAAGTATGTGCTGTCAATCCTGACGACCTGGGTTCAATTCCCCAGGACCCACTTGGCAGAAGCAGAGAATCCAGTCACTCAAGTTGGCCCCTGCACAAGTGTGTGTATGTGCACACACAAAGTAAATAAGCAAATTTAATAACAATAAACAAATATGTGGACATGCCGATCCCTACTTCCCCGGAATACCACCTTACTTGGAAATAGAGTCATCGCAAATGTAATTGGATAAAATGAGGCCACAATGGAGCAGGCTGGGCCCCTGGTCCAGAATGACTGGTGTCCTTAAAAGACGGCTGTGTGGAGACACTGACATGTGGGAGGTGACCTGAGGGTGGAGGCAGGCACGGGAGCAAGGCACGTACAAGTCGAGCAATACCAAGGCTAACCGGTCGTCCCAGTCACTAGACGATGCATGGGACAGGCTCCCGTGAGGCCCCACGAGTAGCCAACACCTCTGGCCTCCAGAATGTGAGACAGTAAAGCGATTTCTGTTATAGTCTGCAATATTTTCTCACAGCAGCCCTAGGAAACTTACATTTCAATTAGAAAAAAAACAAAACAAGGCTGGAGATGTAGATTAGGGCTAGAACTTTCTCCTAGTAAGTGTGAGGCTTTTGATTTGAACCCTAGCACCTGGAGATCCCAAAAAACTCATCAAGGCCGGGCGGTGGTGGTGCACGCCTTTAGTCCCAGCACTCGGGCAGCAGAGGCAGGCGGATCTCTGTGAGTTCGAGGCCAGCCTCCGCTACAGAGTGAGTTCTAGGACAGCCAGGGCTACACAGAGAAACCCTGTCTTGAAAAACCAAAAACCAAAACAAAAAAAAATCTCATCAAGTCTGACATCCTCCAAGGAAATCAACATTGCTACTGTCAATCTGGGGGGTCACTCTTGAAATAAGTTCGTGACAATCACACGATCAGCATGTCTAGACACTGTTTCAGAAATTACAAGTGGCGGATGTTTATCGACCACTGCAAAAGCATCCATGCAGAGAGGGCATTGTTACTTTTCCCTAAAGAAGTGAGTGATGAGCGCTGCAGAGACAGCGCAGCATTTAAGAGCGCTTTGCTCTTGCATAGGACCTAGGTTTCATTCCCAGCATCCACAGGACCATTAACAGCTGTCTGTAATTCCAGTTCCAAAGGATCTTATGCACTCTTCTGGTCTCTGCAGGTACTGCATGCACATGGTGCACAAACACTCAGGCAAAACACCAGAACATACAAAATAAAAAAAATTTAAAAAGTGGATGATCTCAGGACATAATGGTTTTAGCAAGTGTGTGTCTCTCAGGCTCTTACTAAGCTCTGACTGATGGGAGGAAGCATCTCTGTGCATTCTACCTCCCAAATCAGCTTATCTATAAAGTACCACTATCAGTCCTAGTTCACGGGCAGAACTGACGCTCAGAGGTTGAGCAATCTGTCAAGACAACAGAGCAGTGAGTGACAGGGCTGGACGATTTCCCCCCAGTACCCAGTCTGATGCCCCTCATCGTCACTGGAGATATGCTGTTCAGAGGGACATCCCAGGACAGGACCATTAGACAAGGCAGGGACCGATATTGTTAATCACCTCTTACCGCTTCCTCGAAGCCTTTCATATTTGGAGTCAGGACTGGATAGTTGATGCCAGGAAACTTCTGAATGCCCTTCAAGACTTCAGAGTGGTCAGCCATCTGGGAGTCAAAGAAGCCAAGAGCTCAGTGGCAGAGAAAACCACCTCACCACTCCATCTTTTGTCTCCAATACCTTCCATATCTGTCTGACCAGTGAGGGGTCAGGGGACACCCTGGGCAGTATGACCTTGGTAGTTCCCACGGCCAGTACTGCCAGCTCTTGGGTACCTACAGTCACAGCCAGCAGCAACCACCTCCCACGACCTTCTCTAGTGGGCCCTGGGCATCACTCCCTCTGCATTGCCTGGCACTCACTGTCATGGGATGGTTTGCCCACCCCTGAGAGGCAGCAGTCCTTGCTTTTTTTCCCTCACAGCTGCTGCAGATGTGCATGGGGATCCTATACTCTTAGAGTTAGCAGAGACCTCAGAGGCCGCCTCTAACCCGAGAGGGCAAAGGCCTCACTTAGCAAAGGCTCCAATAAAGCAGGGTGCAGCCCAGACTGAATCGGAGCCCTGGCTCCCAGGCCATGCCCTTCCTGTGCTACACAGTGCTGAGACTCACCTGAGAGCCCTCAAGCCGGTGACTGGAAACTTACGCTTCCGACATCCAGTGGCTCCAAGAGCACAAAGGGGCTTCCCACCCTCCCCTCAGGACAGGCTGCTTCTCCTGGAGGCTGGGCTCACCTGGGGAACCCACTTTGGAGAGACAAAGCTGGTGGCCTCGATAACGGGCAGCCCTGCTTCGGAGAGCATGTCTACCAGCTTGATTTTCACGGCGGTCGGTACAATGTTCTGTAACAGACGGAAACCCAGAAAAGGCAAGTCAGCGACGCTGCTACCAGAAATGGGCCTTAGCTGGCGGTCAGAACCTCAGCCTTAAGCTTGCACTGTGCTAGCTCCTCACTGGGGTGACCTCAGACACTCACGGGGACTCACACGTGGTTTCAAGTTCTACCAACTGTGTCCCCTGGCAACAGATGGCTGCTTGCCTGAGGTGTTCATATGTGCGTAGAAACACCGTTTTCCTCCAATGTCCGCTTCCTTAACTCATTGTGTTCGTTTATGACCCCATCATAAACGAGAGCAATGTGCCCTGGCCAGAGTGACCCCCAAACATCATACCCTCCCCTCTTCTCTCTCATAGCTTCTTTTTCTTCCTTCCCCACATCGAGTCCCTCACCAGAGCCTACGAATTCCTTTCTAGTCTACCCTCAAGATCCCAGGTGTATTACCGCTTGGTCTCCCCTGTCAACTCATCCTTTACTGGAAACTTCCTGAATTGCAGTCTCTATTGCCAAAAGCTGTCCACAAGGGGCTGGAGAGATGGCTCAGCAGTAAAGGACCCAGAGGACCCATGCTCAGTTTCCAGTATTCATGCAAAGATACTCACAATTGCCAGTTAACTTCAGCTCCAGGGGATCTGATGCCCCCTTTTGGCCTCTGTGGGCACTGCATGCATGTTGCAGGTATACATACACAAAAATAAAAATAAACCTTAAACTGGGTGGTGGTGGTGGTGGTGGTGGTGGTGGTGCACGCCTTTAATCCCAGCACTCAGGAGGCAGAAGCAGATGGATCTCTGAGTTTGAGGCTAGCCTGGTCTACAGAGCAAGTTTCAGGACAGCCAGGGCTACACAGAGAAACAGAGTCTCAAAAAACTAAAACAAACAAGTATAAAAAAAAAAAAAGCCTTCCACGGTTCTTTGGTGCCAGCCAGTCGGATTATGTTACAAGTCCTAATTCCAGGCCTGCCCATCCATTGTCTTCCCTGGGTTGCAAGCCACCATGTGCATACTGGGAACCGAACTCTAGTCCTCTGAGCAGGAAGTACTGAGTCACGTCTCCAGCCACTCACAAGTCACATTTCAAGAGCTCAAAAGCCACACATGTTGTTACCACGAATGGTAAATGAGCCACATTCAAAGTTACCCTTGGCCACATGAGTCCTGTGCAAACAGGCTGGACACGTGTGGCTGCATACTGAGGTGCAGAACACTTCCTCTTTAAAGGAAGGTTTATGTTCCTTTCTAAGTAAGTACTTCCACATATACCTAGGCTTCTTCTAGTTCTTCCACGTAGGAGTGAAGTTGAATATATATTCTGTTTTGCAGTCTGGAGTCACGTAATATACCTGTATTAATAGCTGCCCAATATTCCAGTTTATCAAAAGTCCATAATGGACCTGACCCAACCTCCCTGGAATGCTCAAAACCCATGTGTGAATCATCTTTTCTGAGGCAGCCTCCATCTTTACCTTCTCATTCTGCAGACCATCTCGGGGACCGACTTCCACGATCTTCACCTGCTTCGGGAAAGCACCCATGGATGAGGTGCTAATCTTCGGTTTACAAGAGGAAACACACGTGTCAGGACTTAGCACAGGACTACACAGAAAACCAGGCGCTGCCTTCGAGCCCCATCTGCACACTTCTCATTCAGAACCCCAAACCCCACACTGTACAAATGCCCACTGGACCCCACCCTGTCTATTTCTGCAGACGGTATCGCATGCAGCCTGCTGCCCAGCTGGCACCTGACTCACCCCTTCCTCTAGACATGCTGCCTTTGAGTCTCTGCAGAGTTTGGCTGGCAGACCTCATTATTCACCCCTACTGCTCCATCCCTCCTGCCCTCTGCCTAACAAGTTGCTATGCTCCAGTCCAGCAGGGCTGCCCTCTGCCTGGAACGCTCAACTATTCTGACACCCAGCAATCATTCAGTCCGTCAGAAAGCCTTCCTTTGAGCAGCCTTTGAAGAGCTACCATCCCATCACCTTTGGCACCCTGTATTTCACAAGACTACCACGACTCCCTTCCATCTAAGCTGGGAGACCTGGCCTTTCTCCGCCCCCGTCTCATCCTGACTGGCACTGTCCTGCCAAGGTACTCAATCACATTACAGGAATAACAAATACCGCACAAAGGGTCAGCTGTCCGGGGGAGGGCAATCACTCGGCACCTGGAGAGGCTGGTCTCCGATCCCACAGTGGTGAGGATGTGAAGAATGGCTTGGCTATGTTATAAAGCTTGTTTAAAGCCTAATTCTAGGCTGATGGGTAACATGAGGGGCGGTGGGTCTGAAGGGATGCTATCCTCAGCAGCTGAAGAAAATATTTTCCCCCAAATTTTAAAGCCTTAAATTTACCGTATATCAAGTCTGCCTCAAATCTTCCCCCACCCACCTGAAGATTGTTTAGTTGACTATTTGTTTATTTTACGTGTTTGGGTATTCTGTCTGTACACCACACGTGTGCAGTACCCTCATAAGCCAGAAAAAGGCATCAGATCCCCTAAGACTGGAGTTACAAATGGCGGTGAGCCACCGGGCGGGCTCCAGAAATCAAGACCAGGTCCTCTAAAGAGCAGCAACCACTCAGCCACTGAGCAAACACCTCTCCTGTCCTTCCCCACCCCCAAATAAACATACTGCACAATATCCCCGAGGACTCCAAACTCATGAAACCCTTAGGGAAAGGACATATCCCCGGCCACCAATCAGCTGGAACATGTCAACACACCTCAAGTGGCTTTGGTTTTAGCCAGCAAAGGTTTCTGATAGACCAAGGGGATAAGGCCCTGGATTACAGGAAGTCAGAGGGCTGTGTGAAGGTCCCTGCTCCTGGAGTCTCCCTCCAACAGACTGTCAGCCTCTGCTGGTGCATTACCCTAAAATGACCCCAGTGGAGCTGAAGAGTCATGGGCCAGGAACTTGGTTCTACTCACGGCTCTTCCCAAGGCCCTGGGACATAACGGGCTCAGTAAGTACACGCTGAAGCAAACCCTGCCTCCAACTTTTTTTTCCTTGAACAAGTTGAACTTAGTTCTACTTCTTTCCCTACAACAGCCCTTCATATAACAACTCAGGCCAGGTGTGGTGGCTCACACCCCTTGGGAGATGGACGCGGGAGGATCAGAAAAGCTCAAGGTATCTTCAGCTACAGAGCAAATTTGAGGCAAGCCTGAGATAGAAAAGACCTTATATTTAAAATATCCCCCGGGGCTGAAGAGATGGCTCAGCCATTAAGAGTGCATACTGCTCTTAGAGAAGATCCGAGCTGGGTCCCCAAACACATGTCAGAGAGCCCACAACTGCCTGTAAGGCTAGCTCCAAGGAACCAGATGCTCTCTTCTGGCATCCACGGGCACCTGCACTCACACAGGCAGGCACCCATGCATTTATATAACTCAAATACACATAAGTGGGGCTGGAGAGATGGCGCAGCAGTTAAGAGCATTGGCTGCTCTTCCAGAGGACCTGGGTTCCATTCCCAGCATCCACAAGGCAGCTCACAACTGCCTGTAACTACAGTTCCAGGGTATCCAACACCCTCACACAGACAAAACATCAATGCACATGAACTCACATACAAACAAATGAATAAATGTAATTAAAAACCAAATAAAAACGTGAAAAGTCACAGCTTGGACATTAGCCATAAACACATGAGGGATCATTTCATTACACCAGTGTAAAACGCATCTCTAAACGGTCTTATTAAATAAAAAAAACTCGGGAAGCCAGGTATTGGGGTGAATTCTGAAAGGTCAGAGAAGTAGAATAAGCCACAGCTAACCTCACCTCACCAACTTCTCAGCCGATCCTGTTTCCTCTAACTGGAAGCCTCTGAGTCCTTATCCGAATGGATCTCAGCTGAACTGCTGCTAAAAGCCTCAAAGCTTAAAAGCCTAAAGCTTTTAAGTTCCTGGTCCTCACACCTTACATACCTTTCTGCTTCCTGCCATCGCTTCCTGGGATTAAAGTCATGTGTCTTTCCCAAGCAAGACATGAGATCTCAAGTGCTGGGATTAAAGGTATGTTTTCAGTGTGGCCTTGAACTCACAGAAATGGATAGATCTCTGCCCCTGGAATGCTAGGAGTAAAGGTGTGTGCTACCACTGCCTAACCTCTATGCTTAATATAGTGGCTGCTCTGTTCTCTGACCCCCAGATAAGTTTATTGGAGTGCATAATATATCAACCACACACCAGGTTCTTAAAAATGATTATTATCTAATCCTACAGGCAGAGGCAGGCTGGTCTCTGTGAGTTCCAAACAGCCTGGTCTACAATAATGAGTTCCAGCACAGCCAGGGTTACACAGAAAGACTATATGTCAAATAAATAAAACACTATTATCCACCATCTCATTTAACTTGCTTAACTTCTGGAGTTGGAGTTGGTATTTTCACTTGATCCCTGAGCAATCGGTGGAGATGGGCAGACTAACGATACAGAAGTGGTTTTCTGAGAGAGACCAAGAGATGCAAAGAAAGCGTGGTTTTCCCAAGTACTGATATAAAGCCTAAAACCTCCAACACATAATCATAATAACCCGATCACTGAGCTGATATGTAGCTCCGTGGAAGAGAGTGAAGCGGGGAGCTAGCTGATCCCCACAAAGTCCAACTCCACCAAACCACTACCGAGGACTGATCACTCACCAAATCACCCCGAGTCAAGGCGATTTTATGTACAAGCAAGCTGAGTAAGTATCTCTGTCACTCAGCCTTGAACGTGGCAAGGCTCATCCAGACACCAGTCTGCGGTTTAACCAGCACAGCTCTTTGGCCCCTTCCCTCCCCATACTACGCGTGGGAGAGGACAAAACACCAGGATCGAACAGGCCCAAAGTACAGTTCCGAGGGAATCCCTGCCCGGCCCACGCGATCCACGTTCTCGCCAGGCGTCCAGAAAAGCAACAAGACCCGGGGAAGGCGGCGAGTTTTGGCTTTTTTCACGTGGGACGTGTTTTCCACTAACGAAGGGCTGGAGAGATCCGAAGCTCAATTAGGGAAAGGAGCCAGGGCCACCGTGAGGGAGTTAGGACACCCAGAATGATGTCCCAGGTCTCCACGGTGACAGCGGGTTGTTTCACGTCCCCCACCCCCCCTTCCCCGCGCGCGCCTCAGTTTCCCCGTTTCCTGCAAAGGGATCTGAGCCAGATGGACTGGGTCCCGAACTCTCAAACCCTCCCGGCTCCGGCCCCTGGAGCTGCCCCGCTTTGTCCGTCACAGCAGCCGACGAGGCCCACCCGCCCCCGACTGTCACCCGCCGGGAGCACTTACAGCCCGGAGGGACGCCAAGCCCAGCAGCCTCCGCGGGAAAGCCTGCCTCACTGTAGCCATCTTAGCCCAGTCTCCGTGGCCACACCCGCCGGGCCCCACGTGACCGCCGATCGCTATGTGGGCGTGACCCAGGCGTGGGGCGGGGCCTTGTACTTGTGGTTCCCAGAGTTGGCTCCACCCCCAGCCTGCCTCTGTTTTCCTTCCCGACTGGTTGGTCTCCACTTAACAGGATTGTTTTTCGGTTTTGTTGTGATTTTGACTTTCTGATACTATGTAGCCCAAGTTAGCCAGGAACTTACATATCACCCAGCTTGTCCTGGAACTCATGGCAATCCTCCAGCTTCAGCCTTCCAGATGTTGACTGGAGGGAGCCACCACCCCTTGACCATTCATTAGTTTTCCAGGCTTCTGTTGTAAAGATACATAGTAAGGAGCAAGGAACATGGAGATGGATAAAAAACTTCAGCCAGGTATGGTGACACATGCCTGCCGTCTCTGCTCTCCAGAGGCAGAGGCAAGACTGCCTCAAGTCTGAGACCAGCCTGGTCTCTATAACAAGATCCAGGCCAGTCAAGGCTTCTTAGAGAGGTCCTGTTTCAAAAAACCAAATCCAACCAAAAGGGGGGGG